GAATATTTTGTTAATTTGAATTTGATTTGATTTGAAATTTCTGTATTTGAATTTGATTTGAGATCAAATATTTGATCGAATCAAACCAAATCAAATCAAATTACGGAACTCTAGCAAAACGTATATAAATATTGCCAGAACTTTGAAGAGAAAATTGCCAATGTTCAATTAGTGTTAGAAATCCTGTATTCTCATATTCTCATGAGAATATACCTTTAAATTTAGAACATTTAATTTTCTATAATTGTTTTCTAAAAAAAAATATGAGAACATAATACTCAAAAAATATATTCTTTATATAAGTATAATAATATGATGGGGTGTTTAACATTAGTTTAATCACAAACATAGTGCAAACCACATAGTGAATATTATTAATCAATTTTTTTCCAGTGATTTTTTTCAGATTTTCAGATTTCATTATTTCTTATTAAATTATTATAAAAAAGTGATATTACTCAAAGGTTTATTTCTCCTGAATTATTTTATGTTTTCAAATTCTGTAAACTGTATTTGCTTTAAGAAATATTTATTTAATAAGTAACAACATTGGAATTTATATATGTAAATATAAAAGGCCAAAATTTTATACTTAGTCTATATTTAATATAAGCTGTATAAATAATTGAATCAATGCTATGTTAGAATACATTTAATATTAAATTTATTATTTATGTTTCCAAATAAGAATACTATCAAGAATTTCTTGCGCTGTTTTTTTAGTTGGTTTACAATTATTTGCTTTATCATTAGCAAATTGATATTGAATATTTCTTAACTCATATTGAGTAATTTCTCCAATTTCACTATCTAGACCTACAAGTTGCATGCAAGATTTTTGCAAATTTGTATTCATATTTTAATGTCAAATTGATTAAATATACCTTTTAAGTGCTGCTAATATACAACAATATTCTAAACCTAAAATTTAACAAATTCTTATATAAGCAGAAATTTTGATAATTCTAATATTTTAGTATTTGCAAAGGTTTCAAATTTATTAAAGAAATCTTCTTGTTGTAATGTTTTCAACAATTCAAAAGTATTTGAATACCTATTAGATAAATATTCTTTTAGTTGTTCAATATAAGAGATTTCTCTCCAAGTTGAATTATTTAAAGGCCAATTAAAAAATACATTTAAAAGTGCATAGACAAATTCTGGTCTATACTTATCACCAAGCCTACAAATACTTAAAGACAATGAATCCAAACTTCCATCTATTTAATAAATTTATTTAATGCACCTTCTATTCCACTTTGTAATAATTCACAAAAATTTTAAATTCATTTGTATCTAATTCATGTTCAGCATTTTCTAATTTATTACCAAATAAATCATATATATTTTCTAAATATTTATGTAAATCTTCAATCCAAGTTAATACTTTATCTGGCATTTTATAGGCACAACTACCTGATAGAAAAGTAACTAATTTATTTAATTGATAGATTTGGGGAATTAAATTATATCCAGTTAAAAAATTATAAATTAGTTTATAAAATTCTTCTTCAAATTTAACTAGGCCTTATCAGTTAATTATTCAAAAAATATTTTTCATTTTTGTAAATAGTTTTTTGAAACATTTTTAGAATTTTCAAGCTAATTAATAAAAAATTGTGCAAATTGCAAATTGAATATGAATATCTCTTCTAGAAAGATATTGTTTAGCAGTTTTTAATTCATATAACTATCTTTGTCTAATAGGTTGTTGATATAAGGTTAATTTATAATTAAAAAAACTTCATATAAATCATGTAAATTTTTAGAAGTTAAATTCAGAGAGCTATATTTATCAGAAATAGCATATCCATTATGAAGATAAAATGCTAAGTTAAGCAAATTATATAGATACTTTTTTAAAGATAATCCTTTAACTACATCTAATTTTTCAAATACTAAATTTTCAAAATTTATTAAGACAATATGAATTACATACAATTCACATAGAATTTGAAATAAATTGGATATTGTTAAAGAATTAAATTTAATTACTGCACTATTAGATTTTAAAGACATATATTCAGTGTTATCTGTTAACCAATAATAGCATTTTTAAGAAATTTTTTTTTTCTTGACACATTTTGCAACAGTTGCAGAAATTGTTTTAGCATCATATTTTGAATATCTGTTAATTTTGCTATTGTAATTGTAGGCATATTTTTAATAATATTCCAATAAACAAAACCAATTATAAGTACTTTTGTTTCTTCTCTTGTACTTTCATCAATTATAATTCCATATCCAAAAAAGCAGAAAGAGTTTTTATTTGAACAATTTTGGTTAAAAGATAATACTGCTACTTTATTATTCCATCTAGCTAATGTTGATAGTATAATCTATTACTGTGGTGTTTTTCTAGTTAAAAATTTAAAAAAAAGCATTAGTACACTCAACAGTTGCATTAATTGAAATTTGTCTCATTATACTAATATCTGTAGCTAATTTGACAAAATTTGTAAGCAGCATGTTGAAATTGTGTAAGCTTTATTTTTTAGCTTTTTGAATAGTTGAACAAATTTTTGATATCTGTTTTTGTTTTGTACATTTTACAATAGATAATTGAATTAAAAGTGAGTGAATTTTACTATTTAAAATTTTTTATTTTTTTTAATTTTTGATTTTCTTTTTTTAAATTTTTTAATTTAAGTTCTAATATACTAAAATTATAATTATAATGAGGTGTGGTGACTTAGTGTAGTGGTTTAGTTGTCACCCTCTCCAAGTGGTAGGTCTAGAGTTCAAATCCCACAGATGACGAATTTTGAAAAATAGCCTGTGTTACGGTTTACGGTTGTCGATTATTGGCTGGATCTAGAAATCTGTAATCTCGGTCATACCATCTAGTTATGGGAGCTTTGGTACAATAAATCCGAGGAACCGGAATAACTGAAAACTTATTTGGCAAGTCCCAAGTTTGGAGGTAGTAGTGATCTACGAAGGTACCACAGAAGGGCTGAATTCGAACTGGGGCCTGAGATCGGATAACTGAGCGACCAGGTCCTAATGGCGGAGAATACACTAGCCGAACTGCCGGGTTGTCGACCCG